GTGTGCCGCAACGTGAAGCTGAGTAGAACTCAGTCCCTCCACGATCACCCCGACGTCCAACAGGGAAGCTGAGCCCAGGGTGGTGAATGCGCTCTTGGTGCCTCACTGTGCGGGGACAGGCTTCCTTCCTCCCCGGGACGTGTGCCACCTGCTCTGACTCCTGAGTTCTCATGCAGCTCTCTGGCCAGCACCTCCTCTCCTTTTCTTCTTTTTTTTAATTTTAAAAATATTTATATCCTTTCTCTTTTGCATTTTTGACAGTTCGGAGTTGATGCACCCTCCTGATTTGGACCGACTCTGGGAGTTGACGCTGCGAGCCCCGTCCTCCGTCCCCAACTGGCCCTGAGAGCCCAGGCAGGGTGCGTTCTGGTCTGGCAAAGCGCCTGGAGAGGGGGCTGTGCCAGCCCGTCCGGGCAAGCGCCTCGCTGGGCTGGTTGCAGCTGGCACAGGCGTGAGGGTGAGCGTGGGTCGGTGCTCGTGCGCCGGCTTCCTGCTCAGCGCCTGTCCCTCGGCTGTGCCCCGCCACTCCAGCGCAGGCGGCGAGACCACGGTCAGGAAAAACCCCATTTATGTAACAGACGCAGCACTTCCTCAATACCAGGCAAAGTTCTAGGCATTCTTCAAACATTTCTTATTAAAGCCACAAAAATCCATGAGGTATGTACTGTTTTAACCTCCATTTTAAAAGAGGAAACTGATGCACGGGGACAAAAGTGATCTGCCTAACGGTCACATGGCAGTGAGTTAAGTGAGTCTAACTCCACGGGAACAAGACCTTAGGCACAGGAGTATAAGCTTGCCTGTGCTGATTGGCGTGGTGGAGGGATTCTATTTTTTTCTTTTTTCTTTTTTTTTTTTTTCCCCACCCCACTTTTTTTTTGTTTTTAATTCAACTGTCTGGTGATCTTTTTTTTTTTGATCACAGTCTCACTCTGGTTGCCCAGGCTAAGAGTGAGTGCCGTGGCGTCAGCCTAGTTCACATCAACCTCAAACTCCTGGGCTCAGCGATCCTCCTGCTCAGCTTCCGAGTAGCTGGGACTACGCGTGCACATCGCCGGCTAATTTTTTCAAATATTTAGTGTCTTCCAATTAATTCTTTCTACTTTATAGTAGAGATGGGTCTCATCTTGCGAGGCTGGTTTGAACTCCTGCACCTTGAGCAATCACCTGTCTCGCCTCCAGAGTGCTAGATTACAGGCGTGCAAGCCAGCGCCTGCGCGCCGAGGTTAGTCTGATTTGAACTTGCCTTTGTTCCAAGACCATCCACAGCAACCAACGGAGGAGGATCAGCAAGTGGGACGCCAAGGACCATTATCATCATCATAACCATAAACATGTCAACACTACTCAGTGCTCCCAAGTCAGGCGTCTATGTTGGGAACATTATAGCATTATATTAATTTTCCTCACGAGTTATTCTGCAATACATGTTAGATCTCCACCACAAATAGAAGGGGGGGGGCACACTGAGTCGGAGAGGTTAGGACTTCCCAGGGCCATACAACTAGGAAGTGCAAACGGGAATTTGAATTCAGCCTGTCAGATGCAAAGTTCACACTCTTGCCATGTTGCAGATTGATTTTTTTGTTGGTTTGCTTTACTTTTTTTTAGTTTTTTTTAAGAGATGGGGTCTGCATATTGCCCAGGCTGCCTCAAACTCCTGGCTCAAGGGTCTTCTCACCTCGTCCCAGTAGACCGTGGACTATGCACAGCTCCTTTAACTTAAAAAAAAAAATTGAGATGGCGGCTGGCGGGCTGCAGTGGCTCAGGCCTTAATCCCAGCACTTTGGAGGCTGAGGCGGGGAGGATTGCTTCGAGGCCAGAGTTTGAGAGCAGCCTGGCAACATAAAAAAATCTGGGCAGGTGGTGAAGCATTGCAGTCTCAGTACTAGGAGGCTGAAGCAGGGAGGATCCCTTGACGCTTGCAGGTTTGAGTTTGAGGGTGCTGGTGAGTTCTGATTGTGCCACCACCTCCAGCCTGGGCAACAGAGCAAGACGCCTATCTTTAAAAAAAAATTAGGGGAAACACATAAAATAAATTACAAACACTTTAAAGCCACACAATTCAGCTGAACTAATGACATTTAGTATATTCACACCGTTTGCCACCATCACCTCTAGTCTGAAACATTTCACATCCCAAGAACACCTCGTTCCCTTCAGCGTTCCCTCCTTTTAGCCCTGGCGACCATTAGTTTACTTTTCTGTTTCTATTGGAGCTTACCCATTCAGGATATCGTACACAAATGGATGTAATATGTACAATATGTGACTCCGGTCTGGCTTCTCTCACTCCGCATAATGTTTTCGAGCTTGCATCCATGTTGTACCAGTAGGAATTCATTGTTTTTTCTGAGACAGGGTCTTGCCTGCACTCAGTGCAGGGCAGTGCGCGTCATCACTAGCTCACTGCAGACCTCCAACTATGGCTTCAAGCGACCGTCACACCTCGCCTCCCAACTGCGTAGAAATACACCGGTGAGCGTTTTACAGCGCGTGGCGCAGTGGCCTGTTCCAGCTACCGGGAGGCTGAGCGCAGGAGAATCGCTTGAGTCCAGGAGTTCTGGGCTGTAGTGCGCGTATGCGATCGGGTGTCCGCACTAAAGTTCGCATCAATATGGTTGACCTCCCAAGGATGCGGGACCACCAGGTTGCCTAAGGAGGGTGAAGGCCCAGGTCAGAAATGGAGCATGGTCAAAACTCCCGTGCCGTGAGTGTGCGATGCGCTGTAATGCACTGCATCCAGCCTGGGCAACATAGCGAGACCCCGTCTCTAAAAAAAAAAGAAATACACATGTGAGCCCACACCAGCGTGTTTTCAATCCTTCTGTGGTATATATACCTAGGAGTAGATCGCAGTGTATGTATGGTACATCTATTGTAGCCTTTTGAGACCCACCAGACTGGTTTGCACTGCGGCTGCCCTACTTCACGTTCCACGAGCAGACGGGACGAGGTGTCGAGCCACTGCCACTTCCTCATCCAACATGCGTTATTTTCTCTCTGTTTTCATAGACAGCCACCTTAGTGGGTTACGAAGTGCTACCTTCATTGTGGCTTGGATGTGCATTTCCCTGATGACTCAATCGTGTCGGCCTTCTTTCATGTGCTTGTTGCCCCACCCTTTGGGTATGTTTTTTTGGAGAAATGTCCATTCAAGTCTACAGCCATGTTTATATTGATTGTCATTTGTGCTTAACCTTTTATTTAGAAATGTAATTTCTAACTTACAGAAAATATATACAAAAACCCATATAACGTTTACCAGAGCATCATTAATTATTGATTTTTGCCCCATTTGCTTTCTTGGGGTAAGGTACTGTAGCGTACCTACTTTTTTCAGCAACACATTGAGAATAAGTTGGCATATATCACGGCTCTTTACCCGCTAGATACTTCAGAAAGCAAAACACAGTACAGGACAATGTAATGTATTTCTGCCTAACCTACTGCCTGCATTCCAATTTTATCAATTGATCTAACTGATGTGTATTTTTCCCCCTTCGTGCAGGGGCCAGGCTGGGTCCTGTGCCGCAACTTAATGTCAAACATTTTTCTATTGTCCCCCCTTTTTCAATTTTTATTTTTTTTTCCTTTTCTTTTTTCTTTTGTATTAGGCGAGGATGCAGGTTTTAGTTCTCATTTTCCCCTTTAATGTGGACAGTCTCAGTCTTTTTTAGTCTTTATGACTCTGACATTTTTGAATAATACAGGTCCCTTTATAAAATGACATTTCTCCATTTGGGCTTGTCTGCGGTTTCCTCCTGAGTAGACCCCGATTGTGCACTCTGGCGGGAGTACCTGTCGGTGACGCTGGGACCTGCACAGCCTCACAGCTGCCGGCACGCAACGCCACCTGACCCTCACAGGTGGGGTTATTGTTTTATTTCATTTTTTTTGAAGGGGGAGGGAGGAGAGGGATTCAGTTTCTTTTCTTTTCTTTTTCTTTCTTTTTTTTTTTTTGAGACAGAGTCTCGCTTTGTTGCACAGGCTAGAGTGAGTGCTGTGGCATTAGCCTAGCTCACAGCAACCTCAAACTCCTGGGTCAAGTAATCCTGCTGCCTCAGCCTCCCGAGTAGCTGGGACTACAGGATGCGCCGCCATGCCCGGCTAATTTTTTCCTATATATATTAGTTGGCCAATTAATTTCTTTCTATTTATAGTAAAGAGGGTCTCGCTCTTGCTCAGGCTGGTTTCGAACTCCTGACTCGAGCAACTGCCGCCTCGGCCTCCCAGAGTGCTAGGATTACAGGCGTGAGCCACACGCCCGGCCTTTTTTTTTTTTTTTTTTTTGGACAGAGTCTCGCTCTGTTGCCCTGGGTAGAATGCAGTGGCGTCATTGTAGCTCACTGCGGCCTCCAACTCCTGGGCTCAAGTGATCCTCCTGCCTCAGCCTCCCCAGTAGCTGGGTCTACAGGCGTGCAATACCAAGCCCGGCTAATTTTTCTATTTTTAGTAGAGACATGGTCTCACTCTTGCTCAGGCTGGTCTTGAACTCCTGGGCTCAAGTGATCCTCCCCCACCTTGGCCTCCCAGAGTGCTAGGATTGCAGGCGTGAGCCACCAAGGCTGGCCAAGATGATGTTATTTTAATGCCTCCGTCAAGCTATCTCTGATTCCTCTACTACATAGCTACTCTTTTTCCCCCTTGCTACTAATAAGCATTCTATAAAGAGACATGTTAAGACCCTGTCAATGTCCCGCCCCTCACTGAGAATTTCCCGCTAGGTTTAGCACTCACTAGAGAGTTTTGCCCATAGGCTGCCTCTGTGACCATTGTTTCTCCTACTGGGGCCTTAGATACTGAGAGTCCCTGACAGTCTGGTGCAAGGCTGTGTCCTGGCCAATGCCCAGCCTCCCTGACTTGACCCGGGTTCAAGGCGCTGGTTCACAGTCCATCTCCTGTGGACAGCCAGGCTGCTCTCAGTGGGCAGCACTCTGGGAGGCTCTTCTCACTTCCTGCCCTGGAAGCTTCCTGTCCTCACTGCAGCCGCAGCAGCCCCAGGCTAGACCAGGGGACCACAGAGTCGTCCAGTCCCCCAGGACGGGGGCGCCAGGAGCTCTGTTCCTCCCTAGCAGGTCTCCGAGGCTGAGGATGGTGAAATCTTGCTGGTGAGGCTGCAGTGGGCGCAGGAGGAACCTGCGATAAGATGCCCAACAGTTACGGCAGCTGCTCTGAGGTCGGGGGCCTGGGAACCCACAGGAAGTGACTTGGTGCTGAGCTGATGCGTCTTTGCCCCGGCGCCTGCCTGGGGACAGGAGCTGCAGGTTGGTGCTGCTAGGGGATGTCCACAGAATGCCCCGAGCCGGGGCCACAAGGGCCACAGCGCCAGTCCCCGGGACCAGGCTGGCAAGGGGCCTCAGCTGTAGGTCGGTGTCCCCCTGTGGCCACACCCGTGCCCTGGAGCCTGCCCCGCTGGAGGGCTTACGTGGCTGCTGCGGTGCTCTGCTACATCAACCTCCTCAACTACATGAACTGGTTCATCATCGCAGGTGAGGAGGGACCCGGCGTCCCGGGCGGCACCGGCTGGTCTGTCCCACCATGTCCACAGTGGCTGTCCATGCTGCATCCTTTCTTCTCTTGCAGTGCGTCTCTGGTGGACTCACCCTGGAGGGGGTTCCCAGCCATGCCTGAGCCGGGGAGGCCCAACTGAGGTTCCCAGTGCAGCCCCAAACTAAGAGGGGACACAGTGGGTGTGGGGCAGGGACATGATGAGGGCTGGGCGGGTGAGGACAGCAGGGAGGACTGGGCCTTCCAGGCGGAGACCTCAAGGTTCTGGGTGGAGGACGGGGCAGCCTGGCCCAGCTCCCAGGCGAGAATAACTCCCGCTGCTCGCAAACCCCATCCATCCTGCCCACCTTCTTCCCAGGGCTCAACCCGCTTCTGTCCGCTCGTCACTTGCTCCCTCACTCATTCATTCATCCAGTCATTGGAGACTGGGGCTTGACTTGGCTTTTGTCTTCTTGTCATTCCTTCATACAGTCATTCATTCATTCATTCATTCATTCGAGATTCAACTTTCTTTTTGTCACCTGTTCATTCAAGATTGAGCACTGACTGTGGGCAGGACTGTCCGGGTGGCCCCAGGGACCCAGGGAGCAACTCAGGAATGACTGTCCGGCGGGGCGGAGGCGGAAGCTTGTTAGCAGCAATCCTGCAAGGCGGTGGTGTGGCCAGACAAGGGAGGCACAGACGGGCTGGGGGTTGGGGAGGGGGCGCCTGCAGCTGCCGGGCATCCCTGAGGCCAGGGCGTGGGTCATCAGCGACCCACTCGGCACACCGGAGAATAATGGGACTGTGGAATAATGGGACTGTGGGGGCTGCAGACAGCCCCAGACGGGTCGCCATCTCTGAGGCACTCAGAGGGACACAGACACACGTACAGGTAGCTCTAACACGGGACGGAGTGGGGTGCACGTCTGCTGGGCCGTGCCGAGGACGAACGACCGGCAGAATTCGCAGCGGAGGGGGCATTTGGTTTGGGCCCCGAAGGCTGTGCAGGTTGAAAGGCAGGGATTGGGGCGAGGGAAGGGCCATCAGAGAGGGGTCGGTCTGAGCCCAGGTGCATGGGTGACAGGGCGGGCCCCGGTCATGGACGCTGAGAGGGAGAGAAAGCAGGGAATTATTCCAAAAGCCAAGGGCATGACGAGAGGGCAGAGAGCTAGAGGTGGGTGGGAGCCAGGAGTCACCGGTGTGGACTCTCCAAGGGCTGGGGGCCCCGGGCTGGCCAGGTCCCCTCCCTGCTGTCACTTCCTCTGGATGTTCAGGAAGCGGCTGTGGTTACCGGGACAAAGGAGCCTGGAGAAGTGAAACCACGCCGAGTGCCGGGGCACTGGCGGGTGCGGGCGGTGTGCGTGGCGGCTAACGTGCTCTGGCGGCAAACGGCGCTGGGGAGGCCAGGGTGGCAGCGTACAGGAACAGTGGCCCCGGACCAGACTAGGCCCTGGGCTACCCCAGAGCACCGCGGGGCTGCGGGGGCCCAGGAGGGGACAGAATAAGGGATGAGCCCTCGTTGCTAAGAATGGAAGATGAGCACAATCACAGAGAATTTCTATTTAGCTATGTATTTTGCTCACCTGAGTTGTTTGTACTTCTCTCTCCAATGACGATGTCTTTTTTTTGTGTGTGTAATTAAAAATATTAAAAAGGGAAAAAAGATACACTGGGTTGTATGCCTGGGTGCTGTAGCAATGTGGCCCACATTAAATGTCTGAACAAAAGTCTCTTACTTCCCTTCTCCAGTGCCTTGGTCTGTCCTGGCCCGCTGGCGGGTCTTGGGGGTGCGGGTGGGGGCTGTCCTGGTGCGGGGGTTTCTGCAGGGCCCCATTTGGGGTTCACCACAGGGCCCGGCTCTCACCCATTTCATGCTTCTTGAAAGTGACGATTGTTCTTCAATGACAGGGCCACATGGCTCAGGTGGGCAGGTGCCGCAGACCCTGAACCTTTCTGAGATACCACCGAGGGGCTATCAGTGACGCTGGCATCTGGGGGACCCACTTCCTCTCTCTGCATTCGGCCGAGTGCCCACTGCTGTGCTCCTGCTCGAAACAACATGCTTGTGTGCACGTGTGTGCAGGCCAGCACGCTTAAGTCTTTGTATGTGCACATGGGTCTACGTATGCCTGGTGTCTGTGCACGAGCAGGACCCCCAGGGACTTCCGCCGGCACAGTAGTCCAAGTGCAGGGCTGTGCATGGCACAGCAACAGGGAGCCGCCAGTCACTCTGACTACAGTGTGAATGGCAGCCCTGCTCGTGTGCGTATGTTTATATCTCAGTGTATATGTGCGTGTGTGTCTGGGTGTGAGAGGCTCAGTTTACATGTCTACGAGTGTAGGCTCCTGCTTGTGCGTCTACATTTGTGCCTCTGCAGGCGTGTCTTTCTGGGAAGGCCTCTGTGTGCATAAGCATGTGGGCGCATGCTTGTGTGTGAATGTGTGTGCTCATACGTCTGCACCTTTGGGCTGCCTGTTTGTGTGTGTGTGTTTGGTGGCATGCATGGGTGGGAGAGGGCGGAGAGGACAGTGGGGGCCCAGGTGCGACACCCTGCAATCGGGGAGGCTGGGCGGCTACTTCCCACTTCCTGAGTGCTGGCCTCTGTCCACAGGAGTGCTGCTGGACGTACAGAAGTTTTTCCACATCAGTGACAGCAGTGCTGGTTTGCTTCAGACCGGTAAGGAGGGAGTCCCCGGCCCTGGAGCTGGGGCTCGTGCCGGGGTGGGGTCGTTCCGGTCTGTGCCCAGCTCCTGCACCGCTGAGTGCCCTGGCACAGAGGCTGGGTGCGGCTGCCTGGGCAGGAGCGACGGTCTGGGCAGGGGGAGGAGAGAGCACGGGCTCGAGCTGCCCCGTTGGTGTGCGTGCAGGTGCTGCAGGGAGAGCAGAGGGGGACGGGGCTGGGGTGGCTCGCGCGTCGGACCCTGGCCTCGGAGCTGCTCACTCACGCCCTGTGCGTGTGTTAGGCTCAGCTGTGCACCAGCGCCCTGCTGGGGCCCGGGAAACCCTGATGCGTGCTTGCCTTCCTCTCACGGACCTGAACAGTCTGACCACTGGGAGACACGTGCAGACACAGGCACACACGTGTGCCCCACACGGGCGCTCAGAAGGGCTCTGGGCCCCCAGAGAGCCTGACACCCAGCAGCAGGGAGCGGTGGGGTGGCTGGGGTCATGAGGCACTAACGTCCCCTGTGGTGCCTGGATGGGGTCGCGTGCCCACAGGTATTGCATATCCGCATGCCCACACATGGGCACGCATGGTCACAATGCGTGTGCACACACGTGTGCACACACCCAGCCTGTCATTAGCACGCATGGTGGCTCTTCTCCATGGGCCCCTGTCTCCTCCCGATGGTCCACTATCCCGGGGCTTTAGAACCCGGCTCTCAAACCGCGGACTGGTGCCCTTGGTCGTACACAAAGACCTTCCAGGGCCTCCGTGAACACAGAGAGTTTTGGGAGATCCATTTCTGGATCCTAAGCCCGTGTGATTCTCTCCGCAAATGGATCTGCCTGAGAACAGGGGTCGTGGTTCCCCTGTCTCACTTCCCCTTTTACACTCACCTGCCTGCCATTTGCAGCAGAAAGAGGCACCTCTCCCCCATCCTGAGTGCACTGCTCTGGGCGTCCAAACCTCCAGGGTGCCAGACACCGGGACCCCTCGGGGCTGCCCGTGTCTGCCGGGGAGGCCCCGGGCGCAATCAGAGAGCAGCGGGAGAAACAGGCGGGGGAGATTTCCTCCCAGCCGCAAGCCGCATCTCGCGTTCCTGCGTGAGACGCCTCCACTTATCTGTGAAATAGAACTCAGAAGTCAGATCGTGATCTCCGGGACGGGTGTCGAGATGTTTGTTTTAAGGAAATAAATGAAGCCAATATTTTTCTTAGAGGGGCTGGGCTTGGTGGCTCAGGCCTGTAATCCTAGCACTCTGGGAGGCTGAGGCAGGGGGATCGCTTGAGCTCAGGAGTTCGAGACCAACTTCAGCAATAGCAAGACCCCGTCTCTACTATAAATAAAAAAAATTAGCTGGGCAACGAAAAATAGAAAAAAAAATTAGCCGGGTGTGGTGGTGCACACCGATAGTCCTAGCTACTCAGGAGGCTGGAGTAGGAGGAGCACTTGAGGCAAGGAGTTTGAGGTTGCTGTGAGCTATGATGACACCATGGCACTCTAGCCCAGGCAAGAGAGCAAGACTCTATCTCAAAAAAAAATTTTTTTTTTCCTTACAATCAGTCTGATTTATCCAACTGGCGTGGCGAAGGAGGCCGGGCTTTATGACTTATACTCTGCGGCTGACATTTCCCACAAATGGAATGAACTTGATCTGCAGCTCCAAGGGTTTGGATGAAAACACAGTTTTAAAAAATACACAATAACACTGGAAATCACATTCTTGGCAACTATTCCAACTTACAACAAAAACATTTTAAATTTTAGCTGAAAACGCATGAAGGAGTACGTATGTCCGTGAACTTCTTTTTTTTTTTTACGACCACGTGAAGCCAAGAGCTAGAGCCACCTGCTAACTTGGCCCCTCCCCCCTTGCCCCTCGGTCTGGGGCCCAGAGGCCGGCCAGCTGGTGCTGGTCTTCTGGTCTCTCTTGCCAGCCAAAAGTGAGACCATCTTGGTCAACCTTCTTGGATAAATAGAAGTAGTGGGAATTGAGTCAACATTTCCCTCACCGGGTTTTACCTGGTGTGGTCAAGATTAATTGCTACAAGGTCCTTGCCGCTGGGCTTGAGGGGCCAGGAGAGAGCGAGAGAGGAGAAGAGAGACTCGAGCAGAGAGGAGAGAGAGGAGAGGAGCGAGCTTTGGAGTGGCCGAAGGGAAGATGATCTTGGGAAGGGACCATACAGGGTGTGTGGAAGGGCAGTGGGCATTGGAGTGGGCTTTGGAGGCTGATGGACCAGCTGGGTCTCTGGTGGCCAGGTGAGTCTCTTCACCTGTCTGGGGTGCCTGTGGCCCTAAGACGCCAGCCTTGCTGTTAATCCACATGGATGCAGCGGAGGGAGAACTGACGAGCGAGAGCAGAGTGTTTGGCTCAGTTATTATAAGAGGAGGTGTGGGGCTGGGCAGGTGCTCACCCTGTAATCCCTGTATCTGGAGGCCCAGGTGGGAGGATCGCTTGAGCTCAGGAGTTCCAGACCAAGCCTGAGCAAGAATGAGCTCCGTCTCTACAAAAATAGAAAATAGCCAGGTGTTAGGCCGGGCTACGCGTGGCTCACGCCTGTAATCTAGCACTCTGGAAGGAGCGAGGGCGGATTGTCGTCAGGTCACAGGCAGAGGTTTGAACCAGCCTGAGCAAGGAAGCGAGACCCCGTCCTCTACTATAAATAGACAAGTTAATATGCCAACATTTATAGAGAAAAAATAGCGCGGCAGGGGTGCCATGCCTTGTAGTCCCAGCTACTCGGAGGCTGAGGCAGGAGGATCGCTTGACGCCCAGGAGTTTGAGGTTGCTGTGTGAGCTAGGCTCGACGCCCAAACGCAACTCATGTAGCCTGGGCAACAAAGTGAAGACTCTGTCTCAAAAAAAAAAAAAAAAGAAAGAAAAATTAGCCAGGTGTTGAGGTGCATGCCTGTCATCCCAGCCACTTGGGAGGCTGAGGCAAGAGGATCACTGCAACCCAGGAGTTTGAGGTTGCAGGTGAGCTAATTATGACTCGCTGCATTCTAGCTTGGGTGACAGAGACAGATCTTGTCTGAAATAAACAACAACAAAAAAAAAAAAAAAAAAATAAAAGATGAAGAAGGTGGGCAGGTGGGAGAGGCCAGTGGCGGTCCCCCCATGGGA